TGATGGCAAATGTCTTTGATGCAAGAGTTCAATTCTTTTTAATCGATTGCGGTGGTGAGTTCACCTCACATGACTTCGATAATCATTTGGCACAAAAAGGCATCGTTCGCCAACTTTCATGTCCACGAACACCCCAACAAAATGGGGTCGTCGAGCGAAAGCATCGCCATATCACAGAGATGTGTTTAACTCTATTGTTTCATATTAAAGCTCCTATGGACTTGTGGGTCAAAACATTTTCAACGGCAACTTATTTAATCAACAAGCTGCCCACTTACACAATTGGAGTCCATTCTTCTCTCTATATGGCAAAGATCCCTATTTTACGATGCTTTGCCCCTTTGGCTGTTTTTGCTATCCATTTCTTTCGGATTATCAACTACACAAGTTCCAGTCCAAAGAGTCTACCTTGTGTGGTCCTGGGTATCAGTGAATACCACAAAGGATTTCGGTGCTTAGAATCCTCATCTGGCCACGTTTATATCTCTTGGAATGTTGTTTTCGACAAAACAATTTTTCCTTGTCAATCTCGTGATGTTCTTCATATGGCGGCTGTTTTTCATGGTGATTTTCTTCAACATACTGATTTTCCACGGTGGTTATTCCCAGAAGATTTGCTGTTTCCACCCATCGAATTTACTACTGCCCAGCCATAGTTCCATCTCCAAAGCACCATTCCCGGTTGCTGCCACCCAGTCTGTCCACAGAGACCTCCAAGGAGTCTGTCTTCGCCCTACCGCTGCCTTCTTCTTTGCCTCCTGCTGCCACATCCCTCTTCTGCTAGTGGTACGAGGGAGATAGGTCTCCCAGTTTCTCCTTCTACGCCATAGCTTGTTGCTCTTCCAGTTTTGGGTCCTACCCATCCAATGATTACACGTAGCAAGCAGGGGTGGATTTGGCATGGGGGCAACTGCCCCCATTGGAATTTTAAAAAATTTTAGGGCCTAGGTGTAATTTTAAAAAATTTAAAATTTTTTTAAACTTGTCCCCACTGAAATTTTCTTAAAATCTAGGGTATACTAATGTAATTTCCAAATCTTAAAAGGCAACTTTTGGCTGATCCTCACATTCAACGCTTGCCTTTTCTTTTTTTTTTTTTTTCCGTAACTCCATAAGCTCTCCTGCGGTGCTATCTTCGTCTTCCTCTCCTCTGTTCTGTAAGCCATCTTCAGACTTTAGTGGTTTAGCCAACAAATCAGTTCAGCCCCTTTTCTTTGTTAGTTCCTTTGGTGGATTTAATTGTTGTGCAAATTAAATTTGAAAAAACCCTAGAAGAAATCCGATAGTATTCGTCGTGGGACAAGGTGAGTTTTNCGCAACGATGTTATTTTTACCGATGATGTAACTTGCTATGTTTGGTTTTATCCGTTAAGGCTTAAATCTGAGGTGTTCAAATGCTTTACTTGGTTTGAAAAGGTGATGGCAAATGTCTTTGATGCAAGAGTTCAATTCTTTTTAATCGATTGCGGTGGTGAGTTCACCTCACATGACTTCGATAATCATTTGGCACAAAAAGGCATCGTTCGCCAACTTTCATGTCCACGAACACCCCAACAAAATGGGGTCGTCGAGCGAAAGCATCGCCATATCACAGAGATGTGTTTAACTCTATTGTTTCATATTAAAGCTCCAATGGACTTGTGGGTCAAAACATTTTCAACGGCAACTTATTTAATCAACAAGCTGCCCACTTACACAATTGGAGTCCATTCTTCTCTCTATATGGCAAAGATCCCTATTTTACGATGCTTTGCCCCTTTGGCTGTTTTTGCTATCCATTTCTTTCGGATTATCAACTACACAAGTTCCAGTCCAAAGAGTCTACCTTGTGTGGTCCTGGGTATCAGTGAATACCACAAAGGATTTCGGTGCTTAGAATCCTCATCTGGCCACGTTTATATCTCTTGGCATGTTGTTTTCGACAAAACAATTTTTCCTTGTCAATCTCGTGATGTTCTTCTTATGGCGGCTGTTTTTCATGGTGATTTTCTTCAACATACTGATTTTCCACGGTGGTTATTCCCAGAAGATTTGCTGTTTCCACCCATCGAATTTACTACTGCCCAGCCATAGTTCCATCTCCAAAGCACCATTCCCGGTTGCTGCCACCCAGTCTGTCCACAGAGACCTCCAAGGAATCTGTCTTCGCCCTACCGCTGCCTTCTTCTTTGCCACCTGCTGCCACATCCCTCTTCTGCTAGTGGTACGAGGGAGATAGGTCTCCCAGTTTCTCCTTCTGCGCCATAGCTTGTTGCTCTTCCAGTTTTGGGTCCTACCCATCCAATGATTACACGTAGCAAGCAGGGGTGGATTTGGCATGGGGGCAACTGCCCCCATTGGAATTTTAAAAAATTTTAGGGCCTAGGTGTAATTTTAAAAAATTT